TGGTGGTGAACAAATGAAATATCCTCTTAATGTGTTCTTTTGCCCATATTCTAATTGGACTGTCTTTTGTTGAGTTTTGAGAGTTCTTTATTTATCTGATATGAGTAATTTCTCACATGTGACTTGCAAATTAAGCATTTAGTTTCTGGTGAAGTCCAATTTATCACTTTTTTCTCTTTTATGGATTGCTTTCAGTGTCATGTCTAAGATCTCTTCACCTAGCTCTAGGTCCTAGTGAAGATTATCACTTGTTTTCTTCTCGAAGTTTTCCAGTTTTGTTTTACCTTTAAACCTATGATCTATTTTGAGTTCATTTTTGTATTGTGACTTAAGGTCCTTTTTAATTTTTTTATGGATGCCCAACTCCTCCATTATTTATTGAAAGGTCTATCCTTCATTGAATGCTGAAAAATTAGCTGGCCATACTTGTGCAGGTCTGTTTCTGGGATCTTTCTTCTGTTCCATTGATCTACTTGTCTATCTCTCTGCCATGTTGTCTTAATGCAGATCTACAGCAACTCTTAAAATCAGGTATGGTTGTGGAGCACTGGGTGTTACGCACAAACAATGAATCATGGAACACTACATCAAAAACTAATGATGTAATGTATGGTGATTAACATAACAATAAAAAAATTTAAAGAAAAAAAAATGTGCAACCCCTACCACCACAGTCAAGATACAGAACATTTCCATTACCCAAAATGCTCCCCCACACCCCTTTGCAGTCAATTTCCACCCCTCCTGGCTCCGGGCACCACTAAGCTACTTTCTGTCATTACAGATTTTTTTTTGGTCTATTGGAGCATTTCATTTAAAATATAGAATCATAAAGCATGAAAAAAATCAGGTATGGTGAGTCTTCTCACTTTATTCTTGTTTTTCAAAGTTAGCTACTTCTTTGCCTTTTCATATAAATTTTGAAGAATGTCATTTCAAAAAAAAAAAAACTGCCAGAATTTTGATAGGAATTGCATTAAACCCGTAGTTCAATATGGGAAGAAATCACATCTTTACCTATTGCTGAGTCTTCTAATCTGAGAATATGACCATGTTTCTCCATTTATGTAGGTCTTTGATTTTTCATCCAGTGTTTGATTTTCAACACACAAATCTTGTAATGTTTTGTTAGATTTATGTTTCATCTTTAGAGTGATTATATAGTTTTAAATTTTGATTTTCATGTGTTCATTGCTACTATATAGAATATAATTAATTTTTATATTCATCTTGTAACCTGTGACCTGATGAACTCATTTAGTTCTAAGTTTTTTTTTTTGTAGATGATTTCCAAAATCTCCATGGGATTTTGATAATTTATAAGTTATCAAATTTACAAATAGGGACAATTTTCTTTTCAGTCTGTGTGTTTAATTTTATTTCCTTTTTCTTGCTTTATCCTATTGTGCTGGCTAGGAGTTCCAGTATGATATTGAATAGTGAGAGTGGATATCATTGCCTCATCCTGATCTCAAGGGTGAAGCACCTAGTCTTTCACACCATTACATGTTAACTGTCAGGTTTTTTGTAGATGTTATTTACCAAGTTGAGGAAGTTACCCTCTTATTTCTAGCTTGCTGAGAGTTTTTGTCATGAATAAATGTTCAATTTTGGCAAGTTTTTTTTTCATCAATTGATAAGATCATGTCTTCTTTCCCATAGGTCTTTTTAAATACTGAAAAAAGCTTAGAGACTTCCCTAGACTTCAGACTAGGGCCCTGGGAACTCCATTGCTATCACTGGTCTAGTCCAGCACTGCCCAGTGTGCCCCAGAGAATGCAATTTGAGCACTACATGTAGCCAAACAAGCCCAATATAGGAAGTGTTGCTCACAGTATCCATTCCTAGAGGCTTATAATACACATCAGCATAACCAAGACTCAGAGAAGCCCTGCAACATAGGCTCCTATTACCTTTAGAGTGTTATTTTCCAAACTTGTTTAACCACATAACCCTTCTTAATCCCCCTTATGCTCCTATAGCACTATCTCTGAAACACAAGAGAACCACTCAACTGTCTCTTATTTTGTAGTTGATCCAGAGGCCGAAAGAGAAGTGACCTGACCAAGGCTACAGATAGTGGCATCACACAGACACCAGGTCCTGGGTCTCCTGACCCCAGCCCACTGCTCCTGCTCCAGATCATGTTGCTTTGACATGCTAACAGGTCAGCGGATATCCTTGCAGCACCATATACCATCATAGGTAAGAGGAATGTAACCGCACCAACCTGGTCCCTTGGGTGGTTCTCAGGCCCCTAGTCCCCACTGAGCCTGGGGATAAGGGACTCAAGTTCATGTAGTCTTAGTAGAGCCTGTGGGCAGGAGGGTATGTAATGCAAGTCAGGCCAATCATGCTGGTGTAGCTACCTGGTATGGTAGTGAATGGCTCAGGGATGTACCCACAATCCAAATTGGGTCTAACAAGACTCCATCCCAGAATCCCATTAGAATTCCAAGGAAAAAAAAAAGGTTTTCCCATGGAATGATGCCAAACTAGAAGAAACTGAACTAGAGCTACCCAGAACCACCACAGAAGCAGCTCCTTCACAACAAAGTTGTAAAATGAAGGAGACCTTGGTTTATAACATGCCCAAGCCCAATCCAGTCATGCCTGAGGCAGAATCTACCTCCAGAACTGAAATGACAGACCAACAAGTAACGCTTTCCTAAAACCAGTGTGATGGAATTCTGCCACTTGCCAACAGAATCCTGCCTAATTTGAGTGTGAAGCAGATGGCCCAGAATGTCATCACTAACCTGGCTTGGCAGACCCTCTTGATCAGGAGGAACCCCCAAGGTGCCACAGCAGAGAACAATCTTTACTGCCCACCTCATCCCTATCCCCTACCCACTCTCAGACTGACATTACCCCCACTTCCCACCAAAAGAACACAGGTAGCCAAAGGCAGCTTGGGCAGTACTTGATATACATCATACATTTATTAGTGAATATCCCTCTGAAATCAGCAACAATATTAAAAAAAATAATGATTGCACTACTTGGTCAAGCAGAACTAGCAACTTTCATTTTAAAAAAAGTACAAATCTGTTAAAAATTTCAATCAGTATACACATATATATAATACAACATACTAGTTATGTTAAATGCTACAAACCAATGTGAATCCAATGGAATGGAAAAAAACACACATTTAAGCTTTAAGAACCATTTTTTTCTCTATATATTAGCATTTTCTCAAATACATACATGGGAAAAATGAGGTAACTGTAAAATGTGCAAGGAACAGGGCCCCCCCAAATTACATATATTTTATATATATATATGTAATTAAATATATATATGTGTGTGTGTGTATATATATATATATGTTTATATATATATATATATATAAAACCTTTCTAACACAGAACACAGGTGCTGGGCCCAGCCAGGGCTGGGGGATGGTGCCCACTGTCATGCCTAGGCCAGAAGTTGGTAAATAAAAGAGTAAACAATGACAAGCCCCCACCACAGGAAATCATTGGTAACATGGCATCTATAGCAAGGTCGGCAAATCACAAACATCCTAAATAATTGTTTTATAAATCTTTTTTTTAATGATTTTTTTAAAGTGTTGTGTTTTCCCCCCCATAGCTGCTCGTTGGAATCATTGCTGCAGCCGACACACAATCCGTGAGCCTGTTTCCGCCTGCCCCAGGAACCTTAAGGATTCTGAAAACCTTTTGTCGGGGTGGGAAGGGGAGGGGGGGTTTGGAGAGGATGGTTCTCTGTGTAAAACACGTGGGGTTTCAACACTGCTATAAATATAGAAACATCACCTGGAGTTATATACAGTAAGACTTTGGGTTCTCCACGGGGGTGGGGCCAGGCTGATGGGGCCCCATGGCAGGCTGAGGGGAGGCAGGGAGCCAGGGCCGCTGCAGGGAGAACGAGGGTGGTTGGAGCATCCCTGAGGCAGCAGGCGCCAGGGGCTGCCTGCTAGGATGTGCCGGCCCCACACGCGGTTCGTTCGGGGCAGCAACCCCAGCTGGGGGTAGGACAGGAAAGGAATGGGACTAGGGAAAGAGAAGGTGGGGGCTCAGCCAGACCCTATAGGGGGCCTCCTCCAGACCTTGGAGGGCAGGGTTCAGGCTGGGAGGGGGCCCCTGGAGGTGGGGTCCACGCCCTCCCTGGTCCCTGTCCTCCTGGGACTTCCTTGGAGGAGACTCACCCAGTCAGGTGGGAGACGGGCCCTGGCTGGAGGGAGAAATGCCCTGAAAAGCGTACGGTCCCGGTAGGCTCTGGGGACGTGTGCAGTACAGTGCATGGCAGTTATCAGCTGAGCACAGACCACCCCCCAACCCCACCCATTACTGCCAGCCGCCCAGCCCAGCCCCAGCCGCACACATGCATGCAGACCAGGAGGCACCACCAGACCATTCCCGGCCCCCTGGGCACTTGGTCCTGGTTGGTCCCTATATCCCCCATTAAACCAAAAGGAAACAAATTATTTAAAAATCCACACCCCCAAATCCTACATGTGGTTTTGGGCCAAATGAATAAACAAAAACTGCTGCTCCTCACGTTCATGCAAAACAACAGAGAGGGGACATTGGGCGTGTCTGGCCGCCATCACTGCCAGGAAGGGGTGGCCACCAGGAACACAGGAGGTCTCTCTCCCCTGCATGGCCCAGGCCCCCTCAGGATACAGGCCACCCCAGCTCAGGGCCTGTCTCCCTTCTGCTCAGGAGGCTGGCTCTGATACCGTCCAGCCTGGGGGTGGGCTGGAATGTTGTGACTGGGGTGAGGGTCCTTGAGGGAGCCAACCCTCTCAGCAGCCTGGGTAGGGCTGGCTGCCTGAGTCTGTCTGGGGTCAAAGCAGGAGGACCCAGGGGCTGGGGCTCAGGAAATGGCCTCATGCCATCCTCTGTCCGCATGCCTGTCAGTGCCACCCAGTCAGACGGCATACCATTTCAGTGCAAGAGACCAGGCAACCCAGGACGGAGCCCTCTTTGCCCATCCTGGGACTGAGGCTCTCCCCCAGCTGAGCTCGGGGGGGATAGACCCCTGGCTCCCAGGGCTGGCAGGAAAAGGAGACAGACTCGAGGGCAAACAGGAGGGAGACTGAGTTAGGGACACTCAGGCAGCTCCGTGGTGGGCAGACTGGCAGGAAGATCGGGGCAGGAGTCTTTGGAGCTTGGCAAATGCAGGGGCTTATTGCAGGGGCTTCTCTCGGGGCTGACCCTGGCACCAGCTCTGGAGATGCAGGTGGGAATGACGGGGCAGGCCTGGGCCACTCCCTCCCCGTCCTCCCCAGGTTCCCCCAACCCGAGCTTCCAGAGCTTCAGGCAGGGTTTATCCTGGGCGGCTGTGGGCCTCACTCAGCCTCCCTGGGCACCTCGGAGGCGTCGGCCCGGCAAATGGGACACGTCCGGTTGGCCTAGGGGGAGCAGCCACACATCAGGTTCTACTCTTGCCTGTCCCCCACCCCAGCTGGGTCTGTTCTGCTTCTGGGACTTGACCCCTGAACAGAGCCTGGACTTCTAGATGATGACAAGAAGGGAAACCCTTCAAGGTCCACCCCCCCCACCCTCAGCACATGATGAACACCTGGAATCTGGCCTGGGCTGCATTACCTTTAACCACTTGTCGACACACTTGGTGTGGAACTCGTGGTTGCAGGGGAGGACTCGGAGCAGCTGCCGTGCCTCGAAGTCACTGAAGCAGACAACACACCTGGGAGAAGGCAGAGAGTGTCACCTCCACAGCGATGGCAGGGGGAGGCTCATTGCATAGCACGAAACCCCCTGGAGGAAGGGGTCCCCTTGCAGCCCCCTTGTGCTCAGATGGGGGCACAGTACTCACAGCGTCTGCTCTGACTGATGGCTGTCGGGGTTAAAGCGGTATGACGGGAGCTGCTCGATGTCTGCTTTGGTGAGGCCCCGGGGCTTGGCATCTCCTAGCCGCTCTGCCAGGTTCAGGAGGGCCTGTATCCAGGCAGGAGGAGAGGGTCATTAATGCTCAGGGCCGGAGGTCCCCCAAGCTCCCACCTCCCAGGACAGTGTTCCACGGGACCTCATAGTTCTCCATCTCCACGTCATCCACATCGAGATCCAGGCTGATGGTGGGCCCCATTGCTGTTGGTGACATTGGCAGCATCGAGCTAGGGGGGGGGAGACAGGTGTGGGGGGCCCAGGGTCAAGGTCAGTAGGTGTAGGGGGTGCAGAGCTGCTCCCGACTCCCTCTGTGAAACAAAGCCCAGAGCTCTGCACCGTTCACACCAGGGACTCCAGTGTTTGTCCCAGGACATTGTAAGAGGGCCAAGAACCCAGCTGGTGAGTGTTGAGAATGTGTGTGGTTTGGTGGGGATGCCAGATGGCTTTAGAGGCCCCAAGCACCCCATGGGGCTTTGTTTGGGTCCAACAACTGGAGGTCCCAGGAGACCAGAGCACCACGGCTCTGGGGCAGATGTGCTGGTACTTACAGGAAGTAGGGCAGGAAGCTGGGGTAATACGGTGGCGGGGGTGGTGGTGGGGGTGGCGGGGGCAGCGGCTGTTGCAGGCGGTATCTCTGAGTGCTCAGTCTCCGTGGCATCATGTGGGAATATGGCTACGAGAGGGGTGCCAGGTGCAGGTCAGCCCAGCGGGCCTGTTTCCTGATCACCCTAGAGTCTAGCTGGGGGCGGTACTTACCACACCGAAAGACAGCTCCTGGTGCAGTGGATCATGGGGCAGGTAGTGCAGGGGCACAGATGGGGACAGGGCTGGGCCTGGGGCAGAGGTGGAGTAGGTGAAGCTCCCCAGGGGGTGCTGGTCCCCCCGCAGGTCCACATCATTGTCAAGCCGCTGCAGGGGCTGGAAAAAGTGGGGGTGGGCCAGCCAGAGTCAGTTAGGAGGGAAGCCCTGCCCCCCATGCCATCCCCTATAGCATCAAACCCATTGCCCAGACTCACCATACGCGGGTGCTGGGCCTGCAGCGATACAAACTGCCCAAGAGGTGTCATGTGGGCGGGCTGGGGGTGTGGGGCTGGCGGTGGGGGGTGCAGGATGTAGTGATCACTGGAGATGAGGTGGGGGTAGGCCTGATAGGGCACAGGGAGCTGCTGCATGGTACACGCCTGGATCAGCTGCCAAGAGAGGGAGGGGTTGGGGGGCTGTAGAACATTCTTCTAGGCTCTGGGTTGGGCCTATGCCTGTGCCAAGGGCCAGGGGCCATTCCATCCATCGAGAGGTCCCCACTGAAGCCCTCTGGCCCCTCCTACCCCTGCCACAGGCCACCCAGGCAGGACACTACACTCTTAAGGCACACAGTTACAATTCCAAACCATAAGGCAGGCACTGGGGTGCAGGAAAGTCCCTGAACCTTGAGGTGCCCTCTCATTATTTGTGAATGTGCACATGCCTTTTCTGGGCAGGGTTGAGGCCTGGAGCTGGGTAGGTGCTCTGATAGCCTGGATGGGTGTCATAAGCTCGGCTTGCTTCTGCTGCTGGCCTATGTCTGGGGCTTTCAAGTGGGGATGGGGCAGGAGGTGGAGGCACTCACTCACCGGGGGTGGGAGGCAGCAAAGCGGGTAGTGCTGCCCGCTGAACATCACGGAGCATGCTGGGAGCTGCTGGGCACTGCAGCCAGGGATGTGTTGGCTTGTAGGCAAGGGGAAGCCTTGGGTTGTCACTGTGGTGACTGTGTAGGACAGAGGGACGGGTCCCTGGTGCACCTGTGGGTAGAGAGAAACCCGGAAAGTGTAGGGAGGAAACAGCCATGCTGCTGCCCCCAAATGAGAAAGCCCTGCTGGGCCACCTCCCTTCCCTTCTCTAGCTGGGGCCTACCTAGGTACACACCTGCCTATACCCCTGTCCCAAGCCCTAGAGGGCAGAGAGAACCCTCTGGGAACCTGGGAGGGGCTTCCAACTCTATCACTCATCCACTGTGTAGTCCCAAGGAAGGCCCTTCCCTTCTCTGGGCCTCAATTTACCAACCTGTAAAACAGGGCTAATAATGCCTCACTGACCATGCAAAGAGTTAAGGGGAAATCAGAGTTCTGCTACCTCTGGTCCTCAGACAGGCTTGCCAGAGGCTGGTGGGGAGGGGCCAGCAGGGTGGGGAAACAGGTGATGAGTATTGTGCCTACCTGCTCGTGGAGATCAACCATGAACGGGCTCTGTTGGGAGGCTGGGTGCAGCATTCGGGGGCTCCTGCCGGCAGGAGCCGAGGCTCGGTGCTCCTCTACAGGGAGGTATGGTGGTCGGGGTGGTGGCTGCTGGGAGGGTAAGCGCTCATCCTGGGCAGGCAGGCTGGCCAGGGGGCCCTCGTGGCCGGGGCTGCACCACAGAGAGGAGGCCCCAGTAGGACTGAGGGGAGCCACTCATTCAGAGAGCATGGAGAGAAGCCAGGTCACTACCCACTAGGGAAGGAAGACCGCTCAGAGCCCTATGCCCTGCCACCCCTGGTCCCTATGCCCCAACCCAAGCTGACAGCCCTAGTACCAGGGACTCTAGGCTCTGTAGGACTAGGAGATTCCTTCCTACCTTCCCCGGAGCTGGCCCGGGGTAGTGCCGGGTCCTACAGAGAATCGCCGCTGACCCACAGGGGCAGAGGGTGGCCACCTAGTCACTGCCAGAGCCCATGGTCGCATCAGGGGTGGCAGAGGGGTGGAGGGGCTGGGCCAGGGTTCACAACCCTATGAGGCAAAGAGATAAACAAACTGAGGTACACAGAAGTCGAGGCAATTGCCCCATTAGGGATTGCGGAGACAGAATTAAACTTCAGCAGTCCACCACGTCCCTGTACTCCATGTGCAGTGTACACTCTGGGTCTGTCCTTTTTGGGCACTGGGGATCAGGGATGACAGATCAGGAACAGGGAGCCCAGGTCTCAGTTTCCTGCTCTATGAAATGGGATCAAGTTCCCCTTCAGGGTTGTGGTGAGTTAGGAGGGCTGGCCAGCATGCTTCCAGGCCACGTGGCTCCAGTAAGGCTCCCTCAGGATGGGGACCCCAGGGCACCCTGTTCTGTTGTGGCGGTCTACAACTTCAACCTTCAGGAAGCTGGGGGTTCCTGGGAGGGCACTTCAGCTTCCTCCCTTCCACTGGGTCGGCTCTGGGGGGATTCCAATCAGGCCTTCTCTTTCCACTACTGCCAGGTAAGAGGTTCTGACCCAGTTCCTGCCCTCAGGGGCTCCCAATTCAAGTCAGTTTGTTTTCTTTCTTTCCATAACCAGCTCCCACAGTGCCTACCCACATGTGACTTCATCTACTCCTCAAGGTCCATTTCACAGAATAGAAAACTGAGGCTCAAAGAAATTGAAAGAGACTTGTCCAAGTGTCAAAGCTGGGAGGTGAGCTGGCCACAAGCCTCTCACTGCACCCTGCCGCCAGCAAGAAGGGGTCCTGCCCAAGCGCTTTGCAGGAGATAATGAAGGAAGCGGCCACTGGTGGGTGAGTCAGTCTGGCATACAGCCAGGCCCTTGCTCTGGGGGCTTAACAGCCCCCAAGTGGCAGTGGGGCTTGCTGAGAAAAAAGGGGAAGCAAGAACCTAAAGGAGGAAGTTGACTGGTAATGGGGTGGGGCAGGTCTCCTCCCTCCGGTAGGAGCTGGGGGTCCAGGTGGGATAAGCTGGGGGGGACCATTTATTAACTCCAGAGGTTGGGATGAGGCCCTGGCAGAGAAAACTCTGGAACCCGTCAGGCCTTGTAGAGCTGAAGGGTGCACCAAACAGGACCAGCCCTTTGCTGTTCCTGCCACAGGGAGGCCTCCTCCGTCCGCCCCTTCTCCATCTGACAAAACTCCTATGCATCTCTGACAGCCAGCTTTCAGTGTTACCTCCCTGCTGAGACAGCTAGGGAGCCAGTGTACCATACCCTCAACACCTTGTTCCTTCCTGCTAGCAGTGGCAAGAACACGTCCTCTGTGCTCGGCTTTACAAGCCTGGGCCCTAACTCTCAAAGCCAGTCTGCAGGGGAAGCTCGTCATGGCCACAGCCAGAACTTCAAGAGCTGGAGTTCACATTTCGCCCGCCTAACCTGGGCTCTGGCACTTGGCAGAAGGGCGGGCAGAGCCCACTGACCAGCTTGTGGCCAGCACTGATGTGGTAAATGTACACTCGAGAGCCAATCACAGTCTGGCAGGAGTGAAATTGGTGCCCATGATTGAAAACTGGGAGATTACATAAAAATCTGGTCTTTCCTGAGAGGAAACAAAAGCAGAAAATCTCATCCCATTAGGCCCTCATTTCTGCTCGGTCCCCCTCACTGGAGCACGAGCTTTCTCTCCAGGCCACCCAATGCCCATGCTCTACCTGCCCACCGTAGGTGACTAGGTTTGTAAGCCCTGGTCTGAGCCGAGTGCACATCCTTACGTATGTACACCCACAGCCTTCCTGATTCTTGCTGACAATTCAGCCTAGCAAACAAAGGCCAAAAGAGACTCAGAGTACACCCCTAAATATCTGGAACAAGAGACTCCTAGGCCACTCCAGACCTTCTGGATCAGAATCTTTGGAGGGTTGGGGAACAAGGTTATCTAGACATTTTACCAAAGTTTCTATGGCACAGCCAGGTTTGGGCATCTCTGCTCTAACTGACCCCAGAGATCCTGGGAGCCCACAGTCCTGCTGATGAATAACATTAACAGTAATAACTATGACACTTCTCACATGCCATCTTGAATCCTCACAGCAGCCCTCAGAAGTAAGGACACTGAGGCCCAGAGAGGTGAGGTCTAGAGCCTGTCAGCCAGAGTTGTGAGTGCACTGAGACATGACCCAGTGGCTTCAGTGGCTCCTCTTGTGCTAAAGTCTGGGGGGCATGGATGCCACAGAGGCCCAGGCACATGGGAATCTGCTCTGGCCAGCCCCTTCAAAAACACCCATTCCTCAGGAAAAAGAAGTGGCAAGGAGCTGAGAAACCAAACCAGCAGACCAAAGGGCCTCCAGCTATAGATGATGGTGCCAAAGTTTACACACGATACCCCGACTCTGGCCAGAGTCTTGGCTGAGGATTGGGCGTATCACTATCCCTGCTCAGCCTCAGCTTCTTCACCTCTAAGATGGAACAGCTAGATAACCACCTGCCAGTGGACTGGCAAGGGCTGCTCAAAGGCAGAGGTGATTGGCAAAGTAGAGCTGTGAGTGATCAGTATTAGAAATTAAGAGAGGCTGACCTCCACAAACAGAAATCAGGTGCCACTTCAAGCTCTGCAAGAAAGAGATAGCTGGGAAATATGCCTTCCTAGGGGAAAACCCCAGCTGGCAAGGGAGGGACCCCTGGTTCTTGGAAGTCCTACTAAGAACAGAGGTTGTGCAGAGGGGACACACCCACTTCACAGTTGAGGAAATGGAGACCCAGAGAAAGGAAGTAACTTGCTCTAGCCCACAAAGCCAGAGAAAGACTGAACTAGTTCTCCCCTGGCTGGCCACCTAAGCCCAGATTCCCCCAACTCCTGACTCTTTAATTAGCATCAGTAGCCCCCAATAACCACCTAATCCCAACTAATTTCAGTCCCTAAAGGAGATCGAGAGTTTTCTGTTTTAGGCACTCACTACTAACCCTATTGTGGTGAATGAAACAAGTGAGGCCCAGAGTTGGAGGCATCAACTTGCTCAAGGTCAAACTGCAAGGGTGGCCAGGTGACCACCCCCAATTTCTCTACCTTTCCAGAGTCCTCTGTGCTGTGCTTTCAATGAGGTCTGGGTAAATGGGTCTGCAGGGTCCCATCCCTAAATCCAATCTTGCCTGGAAGCAGGCACCACACTTTGCATCCACCCCCAGGAGGCAGCCAACTCCCTACTTCCAGCGCCCCATAGAACTATCCTAGTCCAAGTCTAGGGAACCCCTGCCAAGTCATTTGCCCCTGGGGGATATTTGCCTGAGAGCCTGAGTAGATTCAGGCATGATGAGAAGCCCCCTCCCCCCGTATGGGGCAGGCTAGGCCACTACTGCTGGTAGGCAAACAGAGCTCTCCAAACGTGTGCTGCCTGGAGGTAGTTGAGGGCAGGACTATCAGCCTCGGAGCCAGGAGTCCTCGGCTAGCCCAGGTTTCCTAGGTGACCTTGGTCAAGGAAATCTCTCAGCTTCTGTGTGCCTCAGTTGTCACAGCTGTGAAATGGGGGTGGAAATCTCTCCTTCCTAGAACGCCCAAATAAAGCCAGAAGAAACAAGACCCAAGAAACCAGGTGGTCACATTAGCGGGGGAGAAAACCAGTGTTCCTGAGGGGCCGGCTCCTCCTTAACGCGGGCCAGGCGCAGGTTGCGGGGCTCTGGGGAGCTTCCTCTGCCACCCCTCCCCGGGGATGGGGGTCCAAGGTGCAGACACTCGCCCGGAGAGGAGACCCCCCACGTCCCCCCCTCACTCATTTATGCCGCGCTCGGAAGGACATGGGGGTGGGGAGGCCAGACTGCGGCGTTGGGGCCAGAGCGCTGTGACTTTAAGAGCCGAGGATCCCGGACCATGTGCTCGGCGTGAGACAAAAGCAACAACAAAGGAAGTGGCGGCAGCAGGGGGAGGGGGCGGCTCCTTCCTCTCCAACCGCGGCACTCAGCCCCCGGAGAAGGGAGACTCGACCTGGCCTTGGGGGGTTGGGGGGAATCCTCTTCGATTCTAGAGGTCTCTCCGTCCCCCCTCTGGACCGCCCGCGATTAACCCCTGAGGAGCCAGCTAGAGCACAGCCCCCAGTCCCAAGGGAAGGGGACAGGAGTTCCAGGGATGCGGAAATAGGGAGTTGGGGCTCTAGCCCCTACTCACCTTCGGCCGCCAGGCCACACGTTGGCTCCTTTGTTCCCGATCTAGGACGGCCAAGCTGGACAGAAGGGGGGGGGGCTGCCTGGACCCTTTAAGAGCCCCCGCCCTGCGGAACAATGTGCTCCGCTCCCCACCCCCCGGTCCGGGGGCAGTCCAGCTCCTTCCGGGGCTCTCTCTTTGTTGTCGGTCCGCCGGCGTCCGCCTCGCGAGGCCCACGCGCGGTCTGCCTCTCTCTGCCCAGGCCCTCCAGGAGCAGGAGGCGGCGCAGGACGCGGCCGGGTTTGCGCAGCTGCAGGCGGCTGGCCCTTTAAGAACTGTCCGCGGCGGCAGCGGAATGTAACAAACCCCACATTTGATTCACAACATTCGAAGCGGCGGGGTCGCGCGCCGGGCAGGAGGGGGGCTCGCGGGGGCGCGCCGGGAGATTCCGGCAAACAGTAGCCGGCTGCTGCCCGCGGCAGCTCCGCCAAGAGCTCCGCCCCGCGGGGACTATGAAAGCCAATCACTCACCGCGGCTCGGCACGTGATTAGTGGGACGCCATCTTGGAAGGCAGATTTTCTTTAAAACCTCCTTCTTGCCCCCACCTTTGCACTTAAAGTGACCGCCGTCACCACAAAAGCAAGGGGCGGGGCCACATGGCCTGAGCTAAAGATGGGAGGCCCCGGGGTGGGCAAGGCCAACGGGCTGCAACTCGAACTTGCTATGCAAACTCGCGAACCACTCGCGCCTCTGAGGCTCAGTTTCCCTGCCAGAGAAATGGGTCCCCCTAGGAGAGCCGCAGCCCGGACTTACTGTGTCATGGTCTTCTCTTCGGGGACGGGGCGCCGCCTGGGGCACTGAAGTGCAATGGGACTGACCTTCGACGGGGCAGGAGCGGCCTTCTTAAGCCAGCCCAACTGGGTTAGGAAGGCTCTAACAGCCTTGGGTCGGCAACCTCCCCGGAGATGACGTCAGCCCCAAGAGCTACCGCGCCGCGATGACATCATGGCCTGGCCGCCCTGCATCTCCTTGTTTATACTACGCGGTAGCTTTAAAAAGCTGGGACGGCCTGGGTTGCCCAACGGACCAATAGCGGGTAACCCATGCAAACGAGCTAACGCCTACGGGGCCGGGGGATTGGTCCTGCGTGCGCTGACGCCACAGAGACATTTAACCGCCCCGCCCCCAGCGTGGCCCGGGAAAGGGGCGGTGAACAGTTTGAAGCATGAGCTGCAGTTGTCCGGCGCTCTGGTAGCTCTGGGCGCGTGGCCAGTAGAGCTTGGTCTCCCCCATGGAGGGCTCCCTGCTTAAGGGTTTTGGGGGAAACTAAGCCCAAAGAAATCTTCAGTTTCCTACTGTACTCCTCCCCGCAGCGATGAGGCGGAGGGATTACTACAGCATTTTACAGATGGGTCAAGAAGATCAAGAGGGGCGTCACTCACTCACCCCAGGTCACACAGCTATGAAGGGTGGCTGAACAGGTATTTGAACCGAAACTACAGCCGAGCTTCGTTCCCTTTGCTTTCATACCGGGGCAGCATTATACAAAGTGGGGTATTACCTCCACATCGATTGTTTAAGAAAAAAAATCAGTAACACTCTAAATATCCAAGAGCTGGGCACAGGCTGAAAAGAATCATGTGTGCATATGATCAATAACTGGACTCCTCCGCACGGGGCTGCACTAACATAGGGCTACCTCCCTAAACAAGATGCCAGTGCAAAACGTTAACATTTGTTAAACCTGTGTTTAGGGCTACTGGGGGTGTGATGGTGTCATTTTCTATGCTTCTTTGGTGTTCTTCATAACCCCAAATTTAAGAATAAAAATGGAAAGCAATTTGCTGAACAGAGTGTAACTATGTATCCATTTTTCTGAAAATTGGGTATATACAGTATCTGCACAGAATACTTCTGGAAGGATATACAGAAAACTAGCAAGTGTTCTCAGGGAGAACTGGAAGAGTATAGGATCAGGAGGATAGACTTTTTATTGTATATGCTCGTGTACATTTGTTCTTTTTTTTTTTTTAAAGATTTATTTATTCATGAGAGGCAGACAGAGAGAAAGAGAGGTAGAGGGAGAAGCAGGCTCCCAAGGAGCAGGGAGCCCGATGCGGGACTCGATCCCAGGACCCTGGGATCATGACCTGAGCCGAAGGCAGACGCTTAACCATCTGAGCCACCCAGGCGCCCACATTTCTTCTTTTTAAAAAAACTCTATACAGGGTGCCTGGGTGGCGCAGTGGGTTAAACTTCCAATTCTTGGTTTCAGCTCAGGTCGTGATCTCAGGGTCGTGAGAGTGAGCCCTGCATCAGGCTCCGTGCTCAGTATGGAGTCTGCTTAAGACTCTCATTTGCTCTCCCCTCTGCGCTCTCTCAAATAATAAATCTTAAAAAACAAACAAACAAACCCAAACCCTGTACAATCTGGGTGGGGGAATAGGTGAAATAGGGGATGGGGGTTAAAGAGTACACTTATCACGGTGAAAAAAAATAATAAAAGAGAAAAAGGAGAAAAAAATCCATACAATATAACCTACAGAAAATGCTAAAAAAAAAAACTACTGTTGGGGCGCCTGGGTGGCTCAGTCAGTTAAACGTCTGCCTTTGGCTCACATCATGATCCCAGGGTCCTGGGATTGAGCCCCACGTCCCTCGCTTGTTCTTTCTCTCTCTCAAATAAAATCTTTTTAAAAAATTAAAGAAATTTTAAAAAATTACTGTGAAAGAGTACGTTTTAAATCTTCTAAGGCATAAAAACTTCTGTTCCCTTAAAGTAAGAAATCCCCCTTCAGGAAAGGTATCCAATGGAAACAATCCAGAAGGAAGTTTAGGGAACAGAGATACTTAATCAAGTTTTGTTTAGACCAGCAACAATCTGTTACTGCATGGCAGATGTGCAGCCAGCAATGCAATGACTGAAGATGGTACCCAGGGGCACTTTGCAGATAACTAAGCACAGGAGATCGAGTTCATGATGCAGTCCCCGCCCAACTCTATCCATTGGTTAAAACTATGTGTGCATGAGAATGAATGGGGATGTACAAGGTGATGCCGTTCTCTAACCAACTCCTTTTCATCATCTCTCCCTTCTATGTCCCTTCTGACCTTTTATTTTTCCCACTATGTAAAAGGAATTAGAAAATCCTTCCCTCATTGGAAGCCGCTACGTTGTTAAGACCACTCCCTGCTTGCCTGTGTAGGGACAGGACATGCAATGGTTCCCTGCTGCCTGCCTCTGGGGCTGGGCTTCACCAGCGTCCCCCAGCCTTTCAGGCTCACCTCTCTCCAGTCCTCCCACAACCACGATGGTGCACCTACTGGCCTTCCCTGCCTGCCACCTTCCCGTCTGCACTTAGCTGGACTGCCTGCCTGAGATGCCTTCTCTATTCCTTTCTACCAATCTAGTCCTCTTCTCTGTCCTTCTGGGCTCTGTTCCCATCTAACCTCTTACAGGAAGCTCTGGGGTCTCCAGCTTGTACTGAACCTCCCCATCTCTGAACTCAGGGCTAGACGTACCCCAGCCTTCACTTCATACCATCTAATTTGCACACAGGCCTGTCACAGTCTCTTCGCTTCATGTCTCACTCCATAACTCCCGGCTGGCCTAAGGGGATTCAGCATTTTTCAGTGCACTATCATCTAGCCTTCACTGGAAGGCCTCAGTTTATGGGTGAGCATCTGAGGCTCAAGGAATGAAGTGACTTGCCCAAGGCCACAGTGGGAATGCCTTATCATTCCCACACCCTCCGAATGCAATTCTTCAGCCTCAATTAAGTCATGTACTTTGAAGCCACCGAACCTCTGACTGTCCCGACTCTAATTAAAACGACCTCACCACCCCTTAACTCTGGCAAAACCCTGCTCAGCCTTTGGGGTTCAGGTCCAAGACTGCCTCCTGCCTCCGCGAAGCCTCCCTGAGCCCTCTTCTGCAGTCAGCTGCTCTGGCTTCCTTAACTCGTGGCAGGGCCCTTACCACATTGCGTCAGGAAATGGGCTCTGCGGGACTGCTCCCCCGCCCCAGCAGGCTCTGGCCCACACTGGGTAGCGGATGCCCAAGGAAGGGGCTCTGAGTTTGACTCTCACCTCTGATGCTACAGGGCTGGGAAGCCCCTGCTCTGGCTTACTCCCCTGGGAGGCCCTCAGCAAACACCCACAGCCCCTCAGGGTGCCCCCAGTGCCAGAGGCCAGAAACACATCTCCTCCTGATCTGAAAAACCTTCCTGGGCACAAGCAGAATCACTATGGAGCAAGTGGGGAGGAGGCTCAATTTTACCAGATTTTCCAGAGAAGCCAGAAGTCTGGGCTTTCCTGTGAAACCCCCTCTCAGGTTCACCTGCAGGTCTTCTGCTTTGGAACCCCAATGTGGTGCTGTGGCCTGCACACCTACCGTATGCCTCACTCTTGTCACTCCGCCCTACTCCACCCCTGCCACTGGAAGACAAGTTCTGTTTTCATCTCATAGATGAGCAAAGTGGTTCAGGAAGTGCCTCCCTTGCCTCAGATCCCGGAAGTGTGGCCCAGTGGGTTTCCAGAAGCCACAGGTGGGGGCGGCTTATTCTTATGCAAGCATCTGCAGTGAGATTCTGTGGAGAAATTAGGGTTCTAGGGGCTCCTGCACAGTCTAAGCAAGTCCCATCCTGATCGCCTCACTGGTCCTCCCGATGACCTAAGAGCTAGGTGCCAGGATTTTACAGATGAGGAAATGGGTGAGGGGGGTAGACTCAGCCATCAAGGGGCAAACCTGGGATCACATTCTAATTTCACATTAAGTTTAGTTCATGCGATACAAATGTCAAAACAGAGTCCCCAAGGGTTGCTCAATAATCAAAAGCACAGATATCCCAAGGCAAGAGGAGACCATGGAGGCTCAAGGACTGGTGGATGAGCAGCAGAGGATTCAAATCCCAGCCCCTCCAAGTGCAAAGCACTGGATATTACATTCTGGCTTCCAGCCCCAAGCCTCCTCTTCAGATGGGAGAGATTCCACTTTGGCAGGAAGGGGGAGGGTCATGGATTCCTGCTGGGGCCTGCCGTCCCTGCCCTACCCTACCCAAGAACCTGGGACAGCTGGCTGCCTCCATTCCTCCCTCAGGGTCAGAAAGCACCCCGCTCCTTTCTTCTGAGACCCCTCAAATTCTCCTCCAGATACAGGGCTCAGTAGCCCTCCCAGGTGGAGCTTGCGGAACACAGAGATTGAGGGATCACCCAGGGACACACAGCACAGCCTGGCAGAACCAGAGTGGGACACAGACCTCCCAGCTACTACCACAGAGCATTGCAGACCTGAGCCCAGAGCCTCACACCCCAGCGTGGAGGGCTGATGGGCTCCCTGCCAAGTCTTCTCTGCTCAGGACACGCCTGAACACACCACCCTCACATCTGAGCTCCAAGCTTTGGCTCCCCTAAAAAGTGGCTGTGTTTGTGCACATGGGGGTAGGGCAGGGCGTCTGTTAAGGTGTTCATGGGTCTGGGGTTCAGGTCAGGGGTACTTTAGTTCTGACTTGGGTCAGCTATTTGGCTTCTCTCCACCTTAGTCTTACCTGTAAAAGCAGGGCAATAACAGTAGTGACACATGACATTTACTGAGCACTTAGTGTGCACCACTGATAGAGGACAGGCACACACTGATGCTTAAATACAGAGCCTCTGAAGTCAGCCTGTCTGGGCTTGGACTTGGAACCAGGCTCTGCCTCTTATTAGCTCTGTGATCTTGAGGAAGTCACCACCTTTTTTTGCGGCTCAGGTTGGCCAGGTGTAAAACGGAGGTGAGGGTACCTACCTCAGTGAGTCAACAGTGGCTCTCACTATGTGTGCATCTTTGGCGGTGCCTGCGCAACTTTCCGGGTCTGGGTCTGCACTTGAATGTGTGAGCTTTGTGGGTACGGTGTTGGAAGGGGCTCCCCTTTCTGACTCCGTTCCCCCTGTAGCTCTGGCCACTGTAACTCCCAGGGTCTGCAAAGGTGGGAGCAGGTACTATCACATCCAGAGATGAAAACCGGGGGCTGCAGGAGGGCGGGCGCCCGGCAGACCCCGGGGGATGAGTCCAACCGAATTCCCCATTTTCTCTCCATCTTAAGTTTCTCTCCTACTGAGGGCCAGCTTCCTATCCCCGTCCTG